GTCCAGTCTTCACTGTATGGGGTCTCGCCCGGGCCGAGCCTGTGGCAGGAGCCCAGGATGGCCAGACCCTGTCAACAGTAGCTCGGTCTCTCCCTTTGCCCCGCCTTCTCGCTCATAAGGGGGAAATGGCAGGCCTACTGCACTGACTTCTAAAGGCAGTTGCTGGGCAGTAGTGAGCAAGAGAGGAAAATGGCACGCTGGCTGCACGAGTAATGGAATGCAGTGAAGGTGCAGCAGAGGCGGCGCTGGGGCAAGGAGACGCAGCGTACCTCGTCCCGTGCACGGATTCAGGCCCATCTAAGAGCACTTCTGTATGTGTCCGTTGGCGTCTTCATTTCATTCCTAATATATCGGGGCAGTAGTGGGATGAAAAAGTGAACAACTAACAGGCATAAGCTCCCCACTCTCATTCCAGAACTGTAGCCATGCAGAGGAGAGGACTCGAAATTCTGCATAGCTAGAGGGGATGGCGAGATGGAAGCTTGGCTTTGGGTGTGGTGACTTGTTAGAGCAGTGGCACCTGGCTGCAGTGGGGGCCCTGGTGGGATGTTACACACAGGCCCCGGCGATGTGGTTGGGTCTGCAGTGAAGCCCACAGGGTGGGATGTTAAGCGCAGGCCTGGACGATGTGGGCCATGGTGGGGGGTCTACAGTGGAACGCACTTGGCGGGAGGTTACGGACAGGCCTGGACGATGTGGGCCATGGTGGGGGGTCTACAGTGGAGCGCACTTGGCGGGATGTTACGGACAGGCCTGGATGATGTGGGCCATGGTGGGGAGTCTGCAGTGGAGCGCACTTGGCGGGATGTTACGGACAGGCCTGGATGATGTGGGCCATGGTGGGGAGTCTGCAGTGGAGCGCACTTGGCGGGATGTTACGGACAGGCCTGGACGATGTGGGCCGTGGTGGGGGGTCTACAGTGGAGCGCACAGGGTGGGATGTTACGGACAGGCCTGGACGATGTGGGCCGTGGTGGGGAGTCTGCAGTGGAGCGCACAGGGTGGGATGTTACGGACAGGCCTGGACGATGTGGGCCATCGGGAAGGGGGTGGGGCATCTGCAGTGGAGCGCACAGGGCGGGTTGGTACATGCTGACCCGCACCATGTAGGAGGCGCCCAGCGGTGGAGTTCGGGCCATGTCAACCTCGAGGTGCTTACCTTTGCTTTCTTTTTCTCTTCTGGTCCGCCGGCAGATACAGGGCTGGGCGACTCCGTGTGCTCCAGCCCCAGCATTTCCAGCACCACCAGCCCCAAGCTTGACCCGCCCCCCTCCCCTCACGCCAACAGAAAGAAGCACCGGAGGAAGAAAAGTACCAGCAACTTCAAAGCCGACGGCCTCTCGGGCACCGCTGAAGGTAAGGCGGCCCCGGGGGCTGGGGGACTGCGCATCTGAACGCTCGTTTCACATTGCAAGTTGGCAACCATACACCCAGGAACCACAGACCACAGCAGTGGGGTCCCTGCATGTGTGCTGTGTTTGCAGCGTGGCCTGGGGCCGCCTCTCCCCGCCGACCCTCAGCTTACCCATCCAGCTCCATGCTGTGGCTCCGTGTACTGATCCCCACGCCCACCCCAGGCCTATGGGCCTGTCTGGTCTTGTCCACTGCCGTGGGGTGGGGGGGCGTCTTCTGTACGATCCAACTATGTTAGACCATCGATCACTCCTGACCCGGGACTGGCCTGTGCTACAAACTGGGCTTCATCCTGGTGACACAGCTGCCCCCATCCTGGCTTCTTGACCCCCAGCCCCTCAGTGGTCACCGAATGGTCCGTGCCCAGGCCCTGTCATGTCCCTGCCATCCCGGGTCACCCTGATTCTCTGACGTGCTGATTCCTTGGGTTTTATTCTGGGGCATGGCCAGGTGTGATCCTTCCAGAGGGGCTCCTTGAAGTACGTTTTCATTTATTCCACAGGTGCGAGCTGAGAGACAGGCGTGCATGCATTCACACGCATGCACACGTGCACACACACGGCTCTTGTTATGAGAGGTCACATCGGTGCAGTTGCAGTATGCAGGAAGTACTTCAAGGGAAAAGGAGAATTCCGTAACTTGAGTTACTGAGAACAGGGTAGTAGAGGGGCCTGTCTTGGGCACGTGTGCCGGTACCAGGAACCGCCTTGCACGCAGACACCCATTTTCTTTTCCGATTTTGCCATGCTTCTTTGGAACACGTGTCTGCGTGTTCAGACCCACATGTGGCAAGACAGTGGCAGAGCCAGAGGAGGTGGCCTGTGCCCGGAGCCCTCCATGTGTGTGCTAGCATGCAGGGACCGCGTGGGAGCAGGAGTGTGTGGCCTCCGTGGCTTCGAGCCGTCGGCCTCTGAAGAGACGAGGTTGGGGGTTTGCTCGGCCCCTCAGAGGACCGTCCTCTCCCAGCAGGGTTTGCTTCCCACACTCTCCCTATTAACAAGCTGAGCCAGTGAAAACCGGCTTTCTCACACGGGTGGGGAGGCCGGCTCCATTGCAACAGCAGGGTGAGAAGTATGGGTCATCGTTGGAGCCCCCGCAGGGAGACAGGATTCGGCCACATTTCAGCCCCACAGAGGCTCGGAGTGGAATCCGGGAGACACACGGCCTCAGCCTGTCTGGCATCCTGTGCTCCATCCCTCTAAGCCACATGCGCAGGGGTGGGGACGGGAGAGTAAAATGTTTTTTGGGGGAGTCCACGTGCCATGCTCACCAACAAACATCGTACGTGCGTGAGGGACCAGCAGTTGGCATAATGGCTATGTCGCTAGACTCCCATGTGGTCGACCGCAGTTCGAGTCCCAGACCCAGTGGTTTAAACTTATGCAGGCGTGTGTGCATGTGTGCCCAAGATCCCGAGAGGAGAATGGAGAAGGGATTGCAGCGTGGCCATCCCCCCGAGGATGAGTCTCTGGCGGGTGTCCATGAGCTGGTTGTGGAGCAGAGTGGGCCGGCGACTGGAGGGCAGGGGCACGGTGCGTGCTGCTCACTTGTCCCGGAGGGGCCCCCAGAGCATCCCAAATGGATGTTGCCATGCCACACCCGAGTGCCATTCCCCACCTGTTGTGACAGGATCTGCCAGGCCGTCACTAAAGGTCCAGTGCCAGCTCCTCCTTCCCTGCAGCACACTCATTCAGAAAGCAAAGGCCGGTGGAATAGACGTCAGCCACTCAGCCTAGGAGCGCTCTGTGCACAGGGCTCCTCTGCGCCTGGTGGCACCGAATCAGTCCTGTGGGCATCCCGCCATGACGCTCCTCACACTCCACCAGAAAGTCTCCACCTGAGCCAGCAGGCGGTGCACTGGCTAAGGCACTGGACTCCCACATGCGGGGCCATGAGGAGCCCCAGACTCAGTGGCTTGACAATCACGCCCAGTGCATGTGCATGCGTGCCCAAAATCTCAGGAGAAGAAGAGACTGCGGTGTGGCCAGCCCCCGGGGGGTGATTTCTCACTTTTCCTCTCTGTCTCCACAAGCATACATGTCCCTATGGCAAAAACCTGGGGGAAAAAAAAAAGCTTATGCCAGATAGTAGATGTCATCACCTGACCTCAGGTCGACCAGGCATTTCCTTATATTTAATGGGAGGGATCTGCTAAACGACAGACAGAGACCAGCGGGAAAAGTCCTGGTCTTTATAAATTCCTCCAATCTCGACCACTCGTGTATCTGATGATCAATCAGGAAGGTGTTTGGATAATCCATCCCATGTCTGGGCTCTTCCAGGACAAGGTCTTAGCGAGGGGACGACCTCACGGTTCTGGCTGTGACGTCATGTGTTACAAAGAAGTCCCCCAGAATGGTGGACGTCCACCTCAGCACCACCTCCAGGCCCGAGGCTACAGTCTGTGGGTGAGCGAGTGGGGTGCCCTGCAGTCCTCCCTGTCCTCTGCACTCACTGGCCATGCAGCTCCCCACCTGCCCTCCTGGGCCTCCCCAGGGCCCACCGACTGGGCCGTCTGTGAGGGCGCTTGAGAGTTCTTCAGTGCCCTGCAGCCCTGCCAGTTCTTGTTCAGGGAAACTAGGAAAGGAGGTACCATTCAGTTAGTGATTTGGTTGCCAAAATTCTAAGAAGTGAGGGTTGGTGATCCAGCTTTTTAATGAATTATTTTTTGTTATTTTCCCTTTCAAACAAACTTAAGAGATTTTTAAAAGTTGTATTAATACATAGAACACTTTTCCTTACATGCATACCTAGTATTCCTTACATGCATATCTAGTAGACTGTTGGGAACACTGCTTATTAAAATATCTGTGACAGTCTTGGCTATAAGGTGGACTCGATTTGGGCTGAAGGACTGTGCTTAAGCGGTTGTCTATTACTGGTCTGGGTGCAACCTGGTGGGGGCCATAGACCCAGGACAGCAGGGTCCTGTGTGACCAGGAGGGTGGGTGCAACTGCAGCTGGTCACTGACGCAGCTGGTGGGCAGAGGAGTTGTGTCGAAGGACAACACCGCTCGGGATTTTAGGCATGCACACGTGCCTGGCGTATTTTTCAAGTAGCCGGGTCCAGGATTCGGACCACGCAGTCAGCCCTGTGGGATCCAGCTGCCTTAACCACCGTACCACGGCCTGCCCCCAAGGAGGTGGGTTTGGTTGAGATATTGAATGGAAATCCGCGAGAGCCAGGGCTGCCCTGAGAAGCAATGGCTCTGGGCCCCAGAATGGAGCATGCTCTGGGTGGGCCACAGTAGAGGAATTTGGTCTCCTGGAACGTAACAGCCTATCTCCCCGGATCCCCAGCCAAAACCGGGTTTAAGGGCTCATGCCAG